ACTAAAGTCTCAGAATTTTTAAGAGTTTGTGCCTGAGAATCTATGTATTTTTAAAACTACAGATTTTTCTGCTGAGCAGTCAAGGATTAGAGAAGTCAACCACTTCCCCAATAGCAGCATCAATGCAAGAGATAGCAATACAAAGCATCCCTTGGTACCAAACATATTCATTTCTAAGTTGGGACATAATAAACTTATCAAAGCCTTACTAATACACTGAACTGGAATTAACTTATATGTAAGGAAGAAGGATTACTATAAATAATTTATTGGGGCAAGCAAAACAGAAAAATTGGAGATTATTTGACAAGACTTTATAGCTCATTAACTAATAGAAGCTTTGATTAACATAATGAATAAGTTTGGTTTAATTGGACCCTATTAGGCCTTCTGAAAATAAATTTTATGTAATGCATAAATACATGTTTATTGTGGAAATTTGAACTATTCAGAAGTATACTTATGGAATAAAAAATGATCTCCCTACATTATGCTCCCAGGGGTTACCAATGTTTGAGTTTATTCTTTCATGCTTTTTTCTATGCACTTTGCTAAGTGAGAATATATAACGGGTTTGTCTTGTACATAAATGGGATTATACTAAAGTTAGTTCTGGTTTTTAAGAAGGGTTAAATGTATGATTATTTCAAATATATTGAGTAAAATAAGACAAGCTTTTATTTCTAAAAATACTTGGGATGGATGTATTACTGATTAAAATGTGTATTAATTATAAGGTAGTATTTTATGCAAATGAAATTTGAAGACATAGATTTAAATGTTATATGCTGTTGAAAGCCCTAACTTTGCTGACACCAGAGTTTGTCACCATCAATGCAAATAATATCAGGTGTAGTGGTGCACACCTGTAATCCCAGGCAGCTGGGAAGGCTGAGATTGAACCTGGAATGGTCCTATCTCAGCCTTCAACTTGGCAAGAGTATGTCTCAAAAAGGGCTGAGATGTACCCTGAATTCAATCCCTACTACCACCAAAGAAAAAGAAACTGTTAATATGTCCTGCTACAGTTATTTTCTTCAGTTTAACCTTGTCTCACTTATCACTCAGTGTATAGTATGGTATGTGGGACTGGCATATTGAATGAATGAGCATATATGCCAGAGAGAAAACTGCTCAGTTGTGCCTGGGACAGTGGCACACAGCTGTAATCCCAGCTACTGTGAAGACTGAAGTGCGAGAATCACCAAGTTCAAGGCCAGCCTGGACAACTTGGTGAAACCTTATCTCAAAAAGGACTCAGGGTGTAGTTATTGGTAAAGTGCCCCTAAATTCAATTCCCATAAGAAAGAAAAAAAAAAGACTTCAATTCGTGATTTCATTGTGTTTCTCAACACAAGTGTATGTCAACCCCTTAGTGCCTGTCATATTCTAAGTATGAAATGGTTCAGAATCACTCTGAAAATCAGGAAGGGCTGCATGAAGGAAATAGCTCCGGGGAGTATAATACCACCTGTCCCATATGAGAGGCAGAGAGGTTGTTAGAACTTATTCATGTAAAACAGGATATGCATATGACAAGTGAGAGGCAGAAAGGAGCATTCTAAGAGGCCAGGCACACCTGCAGTTCAGGAGGCTGAAGCCGGAGGGTCAGGCACTGAGCAACTGAGATGGACCCTATCTAAATAAAATACAAAATAGGGCTGGGGATGTGGCTCAGTGGTCAAGTCCCTGAGTTCAATCCCCAGTACAAAAAAAAAAAAATGGTAGAAGGATATATAGGTACATAGTAATGGGCTTTCTCTGCCTGTTTGAGGTTGAAATGCATAGCCAGTAGATACGCAGCTAGAATTATCAAAATAACAGGTTTCTCAGGAGCACTCACTTATTTTTTATTCGTTTGTCTTAATATTTTGAAACATTCCATCCATTGATGGCAGGATTAAACTTGCTATTTTTGTCTACTATTATACTAATGAGTTGTTTCCTTGTGGTTAACCAATGTACAGTGAGGCAATGTACTGTTTGACACCTAGTGTGGCAAACAGTAATTCCCTGTGCTCACCACCATCTACCTCCATGCCAGGTTAGGATACACAGTGTCTGTAAACCCAGGTGATCAGTCAGAATAACCTTAAGAATCCTACAAATCCTTTTGCATAGTTTTAGTTCTCTTGCAGTTAAGTAGGTCACGTGACCCAGATCTGACCAATTAAGTTGAAAGCCATGCTTTCCTAGAATATGTATATCTAGTTTCTGATTCTTGTGGATGTGACACAGAGCAAGAACTTGTGGCCACAAGGTTAAGAGATGTGAGGAGGAGCTGGGGTTGTAGCACGCTTGATTAGCATGTGTGAGGCATTAGGTTTTATCTTCATCACTAAAACATGTAGAAATAAAAAATAAAGGTATTGTGTCCATCTACAACTTAAAAAAATGTAAGGTATGTGTGAAGAATACTCATCCTTACACTTCACAACTGCCTGCAAGTCACACTTTCCTCCATATTTATGAAGAAAATAAGTCCTTATTTGTCAAGCTGTTTTTCTATTGCTGGCCACCAAGTTACCTTGGCTTCTTGGGCAAGGGCTTTCCATTTGCTTTCTGCCAAGTAACTTAAGTAGGAACTTCTTTTCACTTTTCTTAATTTGCAAATTCTTGGGCCTGGAAACTAAAGTGCAACCTTCCCAGCGAGTCTTTGGGGTTTTATTTGTTTCCAATACTTGAGATTGAACCTAGGCCTTGTGCATGCTAGTAGGCAAGTGCTCTACCAGCTTTTTGTTTTTTGAGATAGGGTCTCAGGTTGGGTGGGTATTTTTGCTTTTGTTTACAAGATCTGGAACTTAGACCAATGGTCTTGTTTATAGAAAGTTTACTATTACTGACCTTTCCACAGAGGTTACAACTGTGTTAGGTACATGCAAGGTTGGGAGCCGATACTAAGTCTACATCTCCCGTATCTACACAATTCTTGGCTAAGGAAACAGACCAGCTGTCCAGGTCTATTCCTTCTCATAGCGCACAGGCTTAGTAAGCAGACTGTTCTTTCCCCCATTTATAAAACACCTTTTTTACAATCCTAGAAGAGCCAAGCCAATGGTGCATGCCTGTAATTTCAGCTGCTGTGGAGGTTGAGGCAGAAGGATCACAGATTCAAGGCCAACCTGGGCAACTTTGCCAAGAAAGAAAAAAAAATCCAAAGGCTAGGGAATACCTTAGTGGCAAGGTGCCCTTGGGATTAACTACAAAGTTAATTAAATGCTTTTACTAACACCCAATTTACAAATGGCAGAAAACGTGTAACAAGTAACACATCAGGTAAATCCCTAGTGAGTTTAAAAAAAAAAAAAAGAAACTCATTTTCTACTCATCTTTAAAAGGTGGTCAGTCCAAAGGTAAGTTTCTCAATTATCTGCCAGTTAATATTAAAAGGAAAAAAAAAAAAAGCTTAAAAAAAAACTCTCTCACACTCTTCATCTTTGGCTTTTACTCTCATTTTTGTTTTTTCCCCCAAATCCAAATGAAAAACAAAATGTAAAAGACCAGTATGTATTTTTTAAAGGGTTGACTAAAACCCATTTCTCTAGTAAACTCATGAAAGGATCCATCTAAAAAGCTTCAACGTGATGAGGTCTATAGCTCCTCTTAAAACACTGATCCAAAGTACTTAACAATTCTGAGGCACCCAGGATTCACAAGATGTGATAAGGACGCATAGGTTTGTATAGGAAAGTTGGGCATAGTGACTTCCTCTTTTGTTTCCATTTGCACACTTTTCCCTAGTTCTGGACCAAAGTACTTCAATGTTATATAGAAAAGCCTAATTATTCTAGGTGAAGGATAGGCCTTCTAATTATAGAAAACTTCAGAGAAACCCCATCTTGCACCTCTTGAGGACAAATTGCTTCCCTTGATATCACCTTTTATCCCACCCAGCTGGACATCTTGTTCTCATCTCTGGCTTCTGTTGACCATGGGCAAACCTGCTAGCTATCTAATAGGTAAATGTTTCCCCATTACTCCTTCCCCAAGAATGTTATCGTATTTTATGAAACTTCTCAAGCAGTCTCAAGCAAGCTGTCAAACTTGTAAGCAGTGCTGGGATTGGAACCCACAGGGCCTAGGCAACCGCTCTTGCCCTGAACTACATCCCTTGCCCCAGCTGTGATTTTTTCTTTACACTGGCTCATTCTGTCCCTTGCTGTTCCTGTGCCCATGTATATCAGGTTCTCTTTTAAATACATGCACTGAATGAACACTGTTTCAGGCTCTGCTTTGTGAGGAAGCTAAACTTGCCTGAGAGTTCACATTCTAAATATATTTAAACAAATACTCTTAATATTCAGAGTTGGCTTGATTTAATAAAAGAATGAATTTAGTAGGGCAGAGTGACACACACCTATAATCCCAGCAACTATGGAAGCTAAGGCAAAGGGCTGGGGATGTAGTTCAGTGGTGAAGTATCACTGGGTTCAATCCCCAGTACTGAAACAAAACATCAACATTTAATGGTGGGCTGGAAATGTTATTAACTCAGTGGTAGAGCACATGCCCAGCGTGCACAGAGGCCCTGGGTTCAATCCCTAGCACTGCAAAAAAAATTAAAAAACTAAAAATAAAATTGTTGGGTTTTCAAAGTATTAGGTATACTCAAATCTGTTTTCAAAGCTTTCAATTTGCTTTCCCTTCAGAAAACATTTAATAGAAATGCAAAAAAAAAAAAATTACCCACATCAACTCAAGTATCCTGCATATTCTCAATTCATTTTGTGGCTGCTGGAAAAAAAAAATGATAGCATCAGCTGTAAAACTACAGAACTAGGTTCAAGTCCAAATCCCACCACTTGGTAGCTGTGTGACCTTAGGCAAGTAATGTGGAAAATATCACCTATGGGTCACAAATCCCAAATGACTTTTAGTTTACATAAAAGAACTGTCGTCTGGCTGTGAAAGAGCCAAAGAAACCATCCTTATTCTAAGAAAGCTTACTAAGATTTATATGCTATATTACTTGATTACCCTTGAAACCAAAGAATCACAAGTAGGATCAAGAGACAAAATTTAATATATGCACACAGTTTTATATATAATGCAGCATCACACCATGTAGGGCATTTACTCTTATTTTGTACATTCAGATATGTTTGAAACACTTCTTAAGGCTACAAAACAGAACATAGAAAAATAAACAGGAATATATTCAACACTTACAAAAAGTGATATGATAAAGAATATAAAGTACTATTTTCCTTTCAACACTTCAAAAGATATGTATATATACTTTTTTTTTTACAAGTAACATCACAAATGATCACATCTTCACATGCTTGTAAGTATTATTTGTACTCAGTGTAAGGCTATTATCATTTTTTATACGTAAATTTTTCTAGCTCTGTAACAATGCAATTTTTAATCCATTCAAGTAAATCCAACCCCAAAGTTGCTGCTTCCCAGCATTAAGACATGCACCCACCCCTCTTAAAGGATTCTCTAAAACTTGTATTTCAGGGGGCAGGGAGGAGAAAATCTCTTCTAAAAAAAAAAAAAGAAAAAATCCCAATCAGCGGGAGAGTAAATGGCTGACACTAGTAGCAAACCTTAGTTCTTTGAAACTGACATACTGGAAATGAGCCATTATTAAGATTCTAAAACAAAAACAATAGCCTTTAGACATAAAATAGGGAGCAAAATACAGTACACAGAAACAGTGTAGCCAAATATGCATTCTCTTCAGCAACACTGGAATGGGCCTTGCTTAGTACCCATAAGTGAAAGACGAAAAAATTTACCTCATCTAAAACTGAAGGCAAAACAAATGAGGCAAAAATAAATATTGCTAGTTTCTAGGATGGCTGAGTATTTTCTAAACCAGAAATGGTTAGAAAGAAACTTTATTGCACCAAGTCAATCTTAAGCAAGTTTGCAGTTCACAGGCAATTTAATTCACCCTTGAGTCACAAAGGAAACAACACACTGCAAGAATAGAGTTTGCTTCAGATAAGCTGTCTCAGCACTGTGGTTTCAAGAAACCCACCGCTGTCAGATGGAGGCAGGTCTGAGCTTGGGTCTGCCATGACAGTGGACTCGTGGAATACCAGGAACAACAGGAGGACAACACAGCTGCCAGCATCCTGCTACAAGGAGCATGGAGGGCAAGAATGGAAGATGGATCTGAGGGAAATAAACTTGAAGAAGAGACATATGCACAATACTACAAGAAGGGGAGCTGGACTCAAGTTCAGAAGCACCTAACTAAGCAAAAACAAGTGAGCTTTGGTCAGTCTAAACATTTGTTCTTCAAAATATGTCTGATCATAATATGCTGAAGTTTCATAATTTCCAAATCAAAATATAAATGATTCTCCATTCTACCCTTCTGCCTTTTTCTTATATAGAATTATCTCAAGTCAATATATAATGACATACAGTTATAATATGAAGGACAAAAGCTTGCTTGGCCTTAGTTTGACCTCAGCATAAGGCAAAATCCCCTGGACTAAAACATTTAAAAACAAATCTAAAGGAAAAAAAAAAAAAAACTGACCTTCATGCAAAGAGTGATAATTTTAAAACTAACAAAAGTCAGAGTTCTTTTATTCCAGAGGTCACTGAGAAAAGTACCATCTGCTAAAATTCTTTCAGCACTGTTTCCACCCTGTGCTGGAGGTTAGAGATGGGAAACAGGAAGCAAATCAGTGCTTCCCTCAGGAGTGATGAGTCTTTCGTTAATTGAGGTAAGGTAGGATGACAGTGAAGAAACCAACAGAATTCTGTGCTATCCAATTTTTAAACATTTCCAGAAACAGATCAAATCCCAGTCAATACAATAAAGGACACTGGAAATAATTGCTTTTACTCCTGAGATCAAACTTACATTGAACTTTTAAATCTGGTATTTATATCAAAATGATTTTCATAATAGAAATTATCAGATAAACTAACCTACAATAAAGGGGGGGCTGAAAAAGAAGAGCCTTCTAAGCTTCTCATTTCATAATTCAGCTACTGATGTTAAGGAAAAACAGGTTTCAGCAGTACCTTCAACAACTGCTCTAGCTTAGAAGGTGACAACAGAAATTCCTCAACAGGTTCTTTCATTCAATTTTTCTATCCATAACCATCCCAGTCTTTACAAATTTTTACCTAGCACCATCATAATAAAATGTTATCTTTCAAAGTGCTCTCTAAAATCCTATGTTACAAAATATCTAAATGCTAATCACTACCCAAATCAGCAGTTACATAGACATTAGGTAATTAAAACAGCACAGAGGTAAATAACCATTATTACAGTACAGTGGAGATTCACTGAGCCTAGCTGACATCCACACACTCCTACAGGTTATCAGAGAACCCAGAAAACTCATCTGCTTTGTCAATTCAAGTGAATTATATTTGCTTTTAAAGTAATCTGCTTTAAAAAAAAAAAAGCCACCACATCTATTTTGGCTAGGTATATTACATATGGCATGCAAAGAAAAATTACTGTATTATTTGCATAGCACTCAAACTTCCTGATCAAAAGATAATCTCAACATTTAAAAAAGGGTAGATTTTCACATTGGTATGTACAAATAAGAAATACAAGCTACAGTTATTTTTACAAAGTAACACAGATGAATGAATACTGTGTTAGAGTCCAATCTCCAAATGAGAACAGAGTGCAACATGCAAAGGGAACTCTAGTAAATACTGAAGACTGGAAGGAAGAGGGATAGAAGACATGTTACCAGAGTAACAAGTTATAAAATGCAAAGCAAAACCATTTTCTAGCAGCATCCTCTAGATAAGAACTAGAAGTTACAATCATTCTTATTTTCGTACAATTCCAGCCATGACAAATTGAACATGCAAATGTAAAGTGATACAAAACCAATGGTGCAAGGGAAAAACAAAACAATCACTCTCTATAGAAACCTGTCAAGCTAAAAATTTTTAACATTTCTTCTCACAAAATATTTAGAATCTGTCAGTGCATTAGTGTTAAAGTGGCATTAAAAAACTTCTGCAATTTTAACAGATGCAGATTATTTTCAAAATGCATAGCATCTACATTTCTTTCGAGTAGGCACCATGATATTTACACCAGTGCTAAGAATTCTTGGTGGAAACAGCCATTTCACTGGAATTTCCTACTATTTCTTAAACATCTATTCTTGTATGCAATCTCAAATTCAACAAATACTCACCAAAAATATACCCTATGAATATTAAAAGAACTATATACATTTCTAAGACACAGGTTAATAGGCTGCCTTATATGTAATATTAAAGAGAAGACATTATTCAAGTTTGACAGATATTGAGATGAAAGGCCTTTGGGTTGGAAGCATTTTAAAAGACAACAGTGTTTTAGGCTGAGAATCGTTTGAGCCCAGTTTATGACTAAGGCATTGCATAATAAAATATACATTTCTATTTGGTGCAATGATATATTTTGGAATCTATACTGTGTCCAATGGTGTTTTGTCACTTTAGTAAACACTATAAAGCACACATTTCCAACATTTGAAATCAAACTTTTACAAGGAAAAAAACCAAACACTAAATCTATAATGTTTTATATTAGGCTGTTTATAAAAAATACTTTAACAAACTTATTTTCTAGTTTTTATGGGGGCAGTCACCCAATAAATAAATGAAAACAGATTGTGAATGAAGGTAAATGGCAATGCCAAAAATTCACCTGCCCCTGACTCATGTCCAAAATCTCATCCAGAATGGGAATGAGGGTAAAGGGGGAGGGGAGGAGATAATTCCAATTTGGGTTTTTATTTTAATGTATTTTTTTAAAGCCTCCAGAAATACTCCACCTAAGAAAGGGCTTCTGTTCTAAAACATCAGAGCAACAACCATCAGGTGTGTTGTCCCCTGTGGCCATCTCCCATCCCTGATCTCCTCCTATCGCCCCTATATGGACGTCCTCTGACATTTCGATGGTACTGATAACCTTCATCCCGGCTTCTGCTTGGCTGCCCTTTCCAGGTCTCCTCACCTCTCACGTGTTGATATCCGCCCCTACCAGAATAGCCCCAATCACTTTTGTACTTCCTGCCTCCGTAAGTTTGATTATAGAACTGCTTGGATCTGCCACTTCTCAGAATATTAGACACTTCATTTTCATCTTCTGAACTCTCTTCTTTTGGTCTTTGCACTCTGCTATCCATAGAGTTGGCCCCAGGACTTACCACATCGGCAGCAGTCTTTGGATCTTTTACTTTCTCTGGTTTTTCTTTCAGATTTTGAATGGTCCTCTTAGGCTCAAGTTTAACAGGCACAGTTTCTCTTTCTCTGTTTAGAATCTGAGAAGGAAGATGAGACTTTCCCTCTGCTCCAGGAAGTGCAGAAGCCAGGGTCAGATCTGCCTTTCGTGTCTGGGATGACTGCTCTGCTCGGCCTTCATGTTTGCTGCTCACGCTTGTTTCAGGGAGAGTGTGTACAACTTCACCCCTGGCTTCTGGAAATTCATTTACTGCTAAGACTGAACCACATTCTTTAGAGAGATCCAGGTTTTCCAGAGGCAGATCCAATTCTCCTTTCTCATCAGAAGGCAGGACAATATTCTGCCTCATTACAGGATTTTCTATGAACCCCTGAAAAGGGTATCCATACCAAACATGAGGAAAGAAAGGAGGTGCAATGGGAACTGGGCCTAAGAATGGATTAGGTCCAAAGGACGGTTGTGGATACATGTTCTTGCCACTTAGTGACTCTTCATATTCAGCATGAAGAAGCTGCCCAGTGTTCTCAGATTCAAGATCAGCCTGGTAAGACAACTGTCCATGACTTTCAGACACCTGAGATGGAGGGATAACCAGAGGTGAAGAAAATGTCGGTGGTCCAATATCTGCCTGAGGCATCTGACCATTAACACTGGCCTCAGTCTGCATAGGAAAGTGTGCATCGGTACAAGTACAATCACTTTCATTCTGAGCAGAAGGAGCTTCTTGGAACCAAGGATTATGAGGATACACAGGTACTGGGACCTTTGGGTACATCCTGCAGGCTGCCAGGTAGGCCTGGTGCAAAGGGTAAAGGTAAGAATGTGGGGCCCACATAGGACAACTATATGCCTGAAAGAGATACAAAATAGTAAAAGTAAATAAAAGGGAAAATTAAAAAGGTTTGAGTGTACCCATCTCAAAACAGTAGGCTCAAGAGAAGCTTCTCATGCCTACAAAGAACACAAACCTACCTACAGTCCAAATACCAGATCATTGCTATACCCCCATCAGGAAAAAGAAAATCGTGTTGCCCTTCAAGATTCCATCCTTTGCTCCTGTCTTGAAACCAATCCAAAGTCCTGCTACAGAGGCTGATAGGAAACATCATCTCTATAACTGGCAGCTTAACTAGACCTACATTCACTTTCTGGTTCTCCCACTGACTGATTGTATGACCCTGCCAGCCGGTTCACTTGCCTGGACCTATTCTATAAGGAAAATGCTGATAGATGATTTTTACTGACAGGACTCAATGAGTATGAAAACCCCAGAGTACTCCAGCTGCAAAAATTAGGTTAGATCCTCCACTCAAAGAAGGCTAATGTTCAAAATGAAATACTCCAAATCCTTCCTCTGCATGGGTTCAGCTAAATACCAAAATATGAAGAAATTATAACCAGCCAATTAGATAAAGCCTACATAAATGCAAAACCAGGCGCTGAATATGGCACAAGGCCTTATAAAACTTGGTCACTAGACCAGGACAGAGTGCTTTATTTCCTCTCTGAAATATCTAGAACCCACAGAAACTACAGACAGCCTAGCACTGACAGAGAGTTCTCTAGCCTCTTAGAAAAAGTATTTTTTAGGTGACTGATTTCCAAAGGACCTCTCTGCTATGCTAGTGAACATACAAGCCTCCCACTCACATACTAATACTTTCATTTGTTATTTCCTTTGGTCCTTTCAATAACTGAGGCAGGTAGCAAACATTAACACCACTCTATAGATGAAGAAAGCCATGCTCAGAGACACTGTGGCTTACCCAAGAATACACAGCTATAAGCCGTGAAAGAGAACTTCAAACCCAAAAGTTTCATCCACTTTCCCCAGTAAGGACATTTCCATGAGGTCCCTGGAATTATGGTTAATTCCTGAATGTATTCCTAAGTTAAACCATCATTAACTAAGAGGTAAACAAGCAAACACAGGAACCTCTACACCACCAAAAGCATCCTGTAAAATGCTGAAAACTCTGGTTCTTAAGAAAATATTTGGTAAACCTGAGGTTATTGCCTGATTAACACTATGGTAATAATTTAAAACAGAATTAACTTAATAATAAAACAACTTTAAAATGATAAATGTAAATTACCTTCACTCCAAGATTGAAGAAAAATCTAAGAATGTTCTTATCTGAAAACAAAAGTATTCGCTTGTTAAAAATATACATTCACAAAGCATTTCTTCATCATCTCGATCGATACACAGTTCCTAAAGAGCATTTTATCTACTAGAATTGTATTCTCCGACCTGTGATATAAAACATAAAAACCAACAGAGCCAAAATTCAGGGCTGGTGCAGTGGAACACACCTGTAATCCCAGGGCCCAAGCAGGAGGATCACAAATTCAAAGCCATCCTTAGCAACTCAGCAAGGCCCTATCTCAAAGCAAACAACCACAAAAGTCAGGCTGCTAAGCAATTCTAATTCTGTATGCTTTTCCTCTAACATCTAAATCCCATAATGGTTTAAACTAATATTCCTATCTGATTAAAACTGAATCTGGATGAAAGAAACTCAAGTGTTAATTTTTTAACTTACCAGTGAGGTTTAAAAAATTATGAAATAAAAATGCTGGGGAGAATGATAAGATCACATAAACCTAACTTAATGATACTATGATTAGTAGAACAGTACACTCCTGCTATTCATTTGCCATTAGCCCATTACCCATATAAGCTCATTGACTAAAAACAAACTATCCACATCAATTTAGGCAAAACGTTACAGGGGCTGGGGCTACAGCTCAGTGGCAGAGCACTCCCCTAGCACGGGCAAGGCATTGGGTTCAATCCTCAGAACCACATACAAACAAATAAGTAAAATAAAGTTTAAAGTCTTTAAAAAAGAAGAAGAAGAAGAGTATACAAGCAGTCACTGTAATACTCTTCCAGTTTTACAGGTATGAAAACTTGTAAACTAAAAATAGAGGCTATAGATATGTAAGATCCCTAAAAATAAGGGGGAAAAACAAATTTTAAAGAATTATTTTTAAAAAACTGCTACATATAATACTGTACGAGTTACTACAAATATTATATTCAATCTTCTTAATTTTTTAACAGATAAAGTAATATCAATCTCCCAAAAGCCAGACCAGTGTTGAGAAAATTCGTTGATGTTTAGATGTCCAATTAATGAAAATATCAACCCATAAAGCCAAGTTCTCAATTCTATGTACACTTCAACAAAACTGAAACAGACACATTAAAACAGGTTAGAAATGCTAATCTAGAGATAAATTATATAATGTTAATATTAGCTAATATAAATATCATGTAATATAGTTATGTAATTATGAATTATATAATTTTATTAGACATTATATACTATATTTAAGCTTTTATATGTGTTCTACGTATGGAATGATGGGACAAAATGTTAAATCTTATATAATTCAAAATGGTTTCAAGGTTGATTATGAAAAAAATGACATTTTTGAAGAGAACCATTACTAAACAAAAAAATCACTTCTTTAAAAAAAAAAAAAGCCAAACTTCTGCCATCTTTCCCAATTAAGTCCTCCTTCTGGCTAATAAACAAGTCTCTGGCCTGCATTTTCGTCTTTTTATGTCTTACTCAACCTATGTGAACTTGGAGGAGCTCACCTTTAGGCAGGTCCTCCCCAGTCTGACACAGTGAATAAGGTGGTGCAATGGCTCGATCTCCCTTTTCATTATAAGGAAACCCAGGATAGAGTGGGTCTTGATAAAGGCTCAGTGTCTGAGGCAAAGGCATCAAGGGCTGGTTAACTGCCTGAATTGACACAGGAACTGGAGAGGGTGTTAAATGAGCTTGAGACACAGCAGAATCAGGTCCAGTGGTCAAAGTCTGTGTCACTGATAGAACAGGAATCGGAGCAGGGACACCTACAAAAGAGAGGGACAAGAATCAAAATCTACAAAAAGATAAAAATAATTCTCTAGAAATATAAGTTTATATTACACTATTAAGTAAATAATGCTGCTAGTAAAACAGCAGGTTGTTAAGCAATCTAACATAGTTTTAATTCGAGTATCAACCCAGGATTCTTCAGGACACAGAGAGGAAATAAGCCTAAGAAAAAAGCTTTGAGTCAGTATCTAACTGTAGCTCTCAGAAGAGACAAGGTCTGCAAGGAGTCCAACTGGGAAAGAGCTGACCCGTGGGGGAAGCAAACTGTAGTGCCAGTTAGTGCTGAGCAACCAAAGCAAAGACTGTTGATAATCAGCTCAAATGCCATGTGTCTAGGATAATAGGAGTACACCTTAAGCAACAGCAAAGACCTCAGCCCTCCCACACTAGAAGCAGAGCAAAGCAGAGAATCACAGAAAGCTCCTTGAGACTCTCTACACTTAGTCCTTTTCTGCAATCAAGCCCTCATTCAAAAATTAGAAGTCTGACTTGGAAGCTTTTTTGCTGGTTGTTCATTTGATAAATCCTTCTCTAACCTGTTGGTCCAAAAGTTGTAGGCTCACTTGGCCAGGCTGGCACAGTGGCTGGTAAAGAAGGCACCGCAGGAGTTAGATGTACCTCTGGAGAAACTAAAAGGGGAGCTGGATTCGAAAGAGACACATGTTCTGCTGGCTTCTACAGAGAGTGGAAAAAGAAAAGGGGTCATTTTGCTTAGATACTAATTTTTAATCACATATATCTTGAATTGGCTGCCTTTTATACAACTGAAGTATAAATGGTCCTATTCTTGTCTTAGAAATGAAAGAAAACAGAGTAGACAAAAACAACATGCAAACAAATGAAATCCAACCAAGTATTGCCTACCAAAAGTCCCAGAAGCCACAAGCCAAGTGTGAAACAGTACAACCAACTTGAAATTCATGAATTTAGAAAAGCTCCCCACACAGACATACCAAGTAACTATGACTTAGTCTTATTATAGGAAGGATGATAATTAAAAAGCATTTAGCACTGAACTTTTTTCTACTTTTATATTAGACCAAGAACCAAAATAACTGCCAGAACTTCTGTTCCTTCATCATTTTACTTATAAATTTGTGGAATTGCTTTTTTAAATGTGTGAAATAACTGATGCAGATGACTCTTCAAAAGGTCTGCTAATAGCAAAGACATATTTAACCACTAAGCCACATCCCCAGCCCTTTTTTATATTTTATTTAGAGATAGGGTCTCACTTAGTTGCTTTAGGATCTAAGTTGCTGAAGCTGGCTTTGAACTCAACCTCCTGCCTCAACCTCCCAAGCCAGTGGGATTACAGGCACATGCCACCACACCCAGCCAAAAAAGTTTTAAAATAAAGTAGAAATTCAGTTTTCTTTCAAAAATCTAATGTTCAGGTCAAGTTACCATAAAGGTAGGATAAGATATCAAAAAATAAAGACAACAAATATGAACTTATCCAAAATAAATTCAGAAGAATGGCAAAGAAATGGTTACAAAATAAAAATCTATTAAACACCATTAACACTGTAAACTAGCCAAGATCAAAATAAATTACAGAAAAATTTTAATTGGGACCTGGGGATATAGCTCAGTTGGCAGAGTGCTTGCCAACATGCACAAGACCCTGGGTTCAATCCCCAGCACCACCAAAAAAAAAAAAAAAGGAAGAAAAAAAATTGTAATTGCACTTAAATTGTGATGCTAGAATAAATTCTCCCATTTCCATAGAGATGTTTCCTATTTTTATATCATTGTATACAAAGAACCCAGAGAATATAGTACTCAGTGACAAATGCAACAACTTACGTACTTGTTCTGCAGGAGATGGGCACTCTAATTTCTTTGACTTTGATGGTGATGAAATTCTTGTACATTTTTCATCACTGGTATTCTTTGGGAGCAAAAAGAAAGTGTGATTTTTGTATTTCAAAGACCCACATTCCAGGAATAACAGCAATTTCCTTTATAGTTCACTCCACATGCATCTGAGCCCTCTCATGATTTGAAATTTTTTTTCCAATTATAATGGTCTTCAATAGGAAGGTTAGCTTTGCCTGTGTATCTCTATTCTACCAAATTACTGGGTTATTTCTAGCTGGGGCATGGCTTTAAACAATCTCCCTGGAGTGATGGAGAATATAAGCTACTCTGCAACTATTCACATAAGGCATCCCAAGGTACCTTGAAGACACAATTATGACTTGTGAGCATAAGCCAGAATACAAACTCGCCTCTTTTCTGCTTCTCTTCTATACTAGTAGTTATAAAATGTTGAAATCATTTCTACCTTCCCCTACTTTTTCTTACTATAGTATCACAGTGTTAAAAAAAAAAAGAAATGCAATTAGAATTTTAAACTTTTACCTCCAATGTGCTTGACTCAGGCTTTTTATCCAAGTGAATATGTCCATGGATAGGGTCTATAACATATTAAGGTAAAAAAAACGTAGCATCAACCACTAGTCAGGTTTGAATACAGAACAAAATATGAAGAAAGTCAACAGTACTACTGAAAGCATGTTTAGTCAATGAAAAATGCAGTATTTAGAGTAACATTTAACATGCCTTAGGCTGAGTCAACGTTTCTCGCCATATCTAATATTAATATGGAGAGATTACTTAAGCAGCTTAACAATTTAAAAAGTAATTTTTTTCCCCAAAATAGTAGTCCCTCCCTTATTTACAGGGGATACATTCCAAGACCCCACCAGCGGATTCCTCAGAAAATTATTAAGAAAATCTTTCCCATCTGCTTTGAAATGAGGAAATAACGTACCTTTGTCTTTTCGTTCTTCTATATCCATTCTCCGCCTGCTTCCTTTCCTATCACTTACATGCGATGATTTTCTCTGAACACATGGGTTGCTACTCTGAGAAGCGGACTGACTCATTGATGAGCTCTTTAAAATGAACAAAACCCAACATTTGTGTTAAAATTTACTCACAAAACTATCAACAGAAATTCTGTAATTAATACTATTCTTCATACTTCTACACACAAAATCTCAAAATTCATAGCCCTAGATTTTTATATTACTGAAAATAAAAATGATATAATCTAGGGTCCACTTTTAATTATATTAATTGCTAAATGACTAAATCAAAGTAATAGGCAAAGCAGACCTTCAGCATAATTAGTAGTTAGACTTCATCATAGATCCATTTCAGGAAGCCACCCTGACCAGACCTTCACCTGGCAACTTACATTCTCTGTATAAACAATAGCATTCTCTGTACCAACCTTCTGAAGAAGCCATTGTAGAGGCATGATCTTTGTGGAAGGGGAAAAAAATCTAAATGCAAATTAGCAGATACAGTGCCATCAGGATTTTTATCACTGATATACTATTACCAGAGCAAATCAATAAGCTCTGCATGAGATCCAACCTTCTAACTGTGAAACAAAAAGACTGCAATAAGTTGTTTTTTAAACTAAATTATTATTTAAGGTTCTAAGTTCCCATTACATTATATATTTCATATAGCAGCATAGAGGACCTTGGTCTTGGCTAAGGAATTTTATAGAAAATAGACCTTTGCCACTAGTAATCCCACGATGTCTAAAGATAATGAGAACGAACACCCCATTTTAGCTGGGCACAGTGATGAACACCTATAATCCCAGCAATTTGGGAGGCTGAGATAGGAAAACTTTCAAGTTTGAAGCCATACTCAACAACTTAGTGAGATCCTGATTCAAAATAAAAAATAAAAGGACTGGGGATGTGGCTCAGTGGTAAAGCAACCCTGGGTCCAATCCTCAGTACTTTAGAAAAAAAAAAAATTAACAATAAAAAAATTTCACAATTTGTCCTTGCATTATAGTATACCTTTAACATTTGCTAACTAAAAAGAAGAAATATAGATAAAAGCTCAAATAATTTATAGTTGTCTACATAAAAATTGTAGAAAATTGACATATAGGACATGAAAGATAAATATACTTAGCACACACACACAATGCCCTATGCTTTTGGGCATCTCTTCCAATAATTCCTAACCCTGTGCCAATTGAATAACTATTTCACATAAGCTTTTCCAACTGAACTCTTCCTCAGACCCCTAAGACATTCCATAACCAGAAGACAGAGAACTAAGTGTATGGGGCTTTAATGTTTTATGGTGGTCTAGTGGGAAACCTCTCAAAACACTCCATTTTGTATGTTTAATCTATTGTTACCAATCAGGATCATAGGTCATCTGAGTACCACTTACCAAGACTTAAAAGCCCACAGGGTTCCCAGTATCAATAATGAAGCAGTTACCCTTCCCTGTTCTGCTCATGAACCTTCTTCACCTACATGACTCCCCAACAGGAGTTAAGGAAATCTGAAGACAGAGAACTCTTTCATCAGAGAAACATCCACTGCAAATAGTGTCTGACACATAGAGTAAGGACAGAAACACAGGACTGCAGGATACTACCTGAACAGTGAGCTCTCTTGAAAGATAGCTCTCACTTTATCAGGTCCTCGTAGGTTTAATAAACAGTTCAGAGTACTTCGGGATTTAACAGATATTTCTTGTAAAAGGTTAAATGAATCATGAACCTCTCTATACTGCACATTATTTTGGCTACCAAATTAAATACATACTAAACATTTCAAACCCATTTACTTGCCAACCATCACCAACTTTTCAATAACATTTCTAGACCTATCTTCATGCAAAAAATGAAAAGGAGAATTAAATGATCTCTAAACTTGCAGTTTAAAAATTGTTAGCACACCATAAGAAACCTATGGTTTAATATAGAAACTATACTAAGACTTCCAAACATTAACCTTTAAAAATTCCCTTTATACATACAGAAAGAGCTGGGAAAGCCTGTTCATCTCTGTTCTGAATCTCATAGAGTAAACGAGACTCCTCTATAGCTTGCTTCTCTCTGCGCTCTTCTGGGGAGAGGCCAAAATAGTGAGATTCTCGACTTGTATGATCAAAATCTTCAACTCTCTCACGATCAGGTTTTCTGTCAAATAAAACATTCTTGTCAGAAAGAAAAAAAGACAAAATGTATTGAGTACCTAAAATAAGATTATCTACTTTCCAATATAAATGTTTGACTAATTTAGCCACACTAACACTTCAGAACTTTTGGCAGCCTGATTAGTATGTTTCACAACTGGAACTGCTATAGTATCAGAATATCTCACTAAGATAATGCACTTACGATAAGGGAGATAAAAGATATATAATTCACTTCCAAGTAATATAGAAATAATTAAATCTCTTTTTTTAATCAGCGCAGAAATATAACTATTGTATATATTCTTTATGCCATATTCCAACACTTCGACAGGAATTTGCTCTCAAAAGAAAAAAAGAGTTAAGCAATGACATTTCTTGTATATCAATACTAAATGAAAGCATACATACATGCAGTCCTGCTTATGTTTTTGCTTTTTCCAAAAGAAGAAACATTATCACTAAGGAAAAGATGAAAAATTAAGATGCCATAAATATCCTCTCTAAAGAAGAAAACTAGATGATTGGGAAAATACAGATAAAAAGGAGACTATATATAGAAAAACATTTAGGATGCTTTGGATTATGAATAATTTGAATTAACTTCCTATCCTAAATACTTTTAATTTTTTGAAAATGGATTTTTTTTTTAATTTTTTTTAGTTGTAGATGAACACAATACCTTTATTTTATTTATTTATGTGTTTTGAGGATTGAACCTTGTGCCTCACACATGCAAGGCAAGCACTACTCTACCACTGAGCTACAATCCTAGCCCTTAAATTGATTTCAAGTATCTTATGCGTTGAATTTATCTCCTAAAAAAAAAATATGTTCAGCTACCTAACTCCTAGTATTTATACATGTGACCCTTCTTGGAAAATGGTCGTTTCTCAGATGCAATTGAACTTGAATTGAGGTTAACAGGACTGGAGTAGGACCTAAACCCAATGTGTCTAGTGTCCCCTAAGAACAGACAAAGACAGGGAAACACCATGTGATGACAGAAGCAGAGAATGAAATGACGTATCTATAAGCTAAGGGATCCCAAGGACTCTAGGCAACACTAGAAAACAGAAGGGGCATGGAACCTCTTTTCCTAACTTGGGCAACAACCTGACTTCAGACTTCTAGTCCCAGAATTGAGAGACTTTCCATGGTTTGAAGACGACTGGTTTGTTACAGCACTAGGAAACTAATAGTAATCAGTCTAAGAACCTACAATTCTGTCTTAAATGCTACATAATATTTATCTTTAATGACAAAAGATTAAGTGCATGCTCAAGAAAAGGGAATGCCCAAATGTCAAAAATAAATCAATTAAAGACCAGAACTTGGCAAGGATAGGGAAGTCACTGATCACAGTAACTTAGGAAGGCTCCAGAGTTCCTGGGAGACATGGCCATGAGTGTCTGAGGAAAATGTCTCTACCAAGACCCCCTCAAAGAAATCTCCACAAAAGGGAAAGCTTTAATATGTGAAACTACTCATCAGAACAGTAGATTAGGGAAACACTCAACACCATATGCCATAGGAAAAGTATGACCCTTAAGCTCATCTTTCTTTGAATATTCAGTTAGAATGCCAATATTCATAATTGCTTAAATCTAAAACTTGCAGCCCTGTTTGGTATTGGAAACATGACCACAAATAATTAAAACTTATCAGAACAAAGTAAACAAACACCTGAGGATGACTTATGTTCCTGTACAAAAGGCAGCATCCTCACCCTCCTCCAAGGATTTAAGAATGTGATCTGGAATCCAGTATTCCAAAAGCCACCAGAAAACTATTAAATACCAGAATAAGATCTGGCTAAAGTAAGACCTCCCAAGTAATTTGAAACAATTATTCAAAAATCAAGATCTTTGATCCTATAATATTACCTTGCTTCGTTTAAAGAGGATTAGAGGATTATAAGGAACTAAAATCCTTGCATGGTATTTTGCCAATACTTTTAATACTATATTACAAACAAGTATATGAACAAAGAGTTTTAACTGTTTAAAAGCAGGCAATGTGGCCAATACAATAAACACTTCTCACCTGACTGCCATTTCTCTTACATTCAGGAAGGTTACCTTATGATCTGTGAGGGTGTCCTGCTAAGATTTTTGTGCTCACTGGAGGATTTCTGAGACTGGGACCCTGAAGAATGACTAGAGAACGCATGTTGTCTTACTCCTGAAGGTTGCTGCAGGCGAGGAGGTAGTGCTGATGGGGCTTTTATTGGCTTGCTTGGATTCTTTGGCCCTCTGTAATCCATGTCTGTGGCAAAAATCCAAAAACACCTTATAATTTTCCTACTTAAACAACCCCAAATACAGCCATCCCTAATCCCCCAAAAAGACAACCTGATATGTTCCTACCAGAATGGAAATTTTGTCCGGAAGTGGAAGGTTTTTTCATCTTCTTTCCTGACACTGTGTTCCAGCTTTCTGGGGGAGGTGCTTTGAGGTTCTTCTGTGTAGGTCTTGATAAGAAAGAAAAAGACTTTTAATAACTTAAAACAATCCTAGCTCTACTCAAAACAAATATTCTATGTAAACATCTTATTTTCAACTTAAGTAAAATTTCTAGTTTTCTTACATTAAAAATAAACCAGAATTCAACTATAAATAGCATTTAGCAATAAAATTTCTAGTTTTCTTACATTAAAAATAAATCAGAATTCAACTATAAATAGCAGTTAGCAATCCTTACTTAATTCTAATCAAATAAAATAATGTATGTAAAAAACATACTTCCTAACTTAAATTATACATTAAAAGGCCTTAAATATAATTTAAGCAAAAGACTAAATTTAACGAATGATTATTATAATGCCATTCTATTGCCTAGTGGTACTATAAACATCTATTAGAGAAATTGTGTGATGTCCGGGATTTCCTTTAAAATATTCCAATTTCATTCCCATTTAAAAAATAAAATATTAGGGAAGAGTAAATTAGAAAAGGTTGCCAAATGCTGTGAGTTGCTGAAACCGGGCTGTGGTGCTCTGTTCCTACAATATTATCTTGCTTCGTTTAAAGATGATTATCCTTCTACATTTATGTATGTTTAAACTTTCCCATAGTAAAAATTTAAGGTGTGACTTTACTTCCTTTTTCTCTAATAAGGGCAGCAACAACCAGAACAAAAAGTGTTCCAAAATAACACTGTATAAACAACAAGTCAATGATACTTCACTACTCAACCCGACAGACATTTCCTACTAACAGATGCAATGCAGTACTAAATGAACATAGAAATGAATGTGCTCCCCACTCTCCAAAGCTCCCAGTTTATAATTCGGCCAATTTCTAAAATAGCCTTTCTGTAAAATGATGCATTTTAAACTATACTCAATAAAACAAGTATTCTTTATTTAAAATTTGCCAACATGGAAAATAGTCAATTAGAACTCCAACTATTATTTCTAAAGATCTGATTGAAACTTGTGCTGGGGATTGAACCCAGGGTCTTGTGCATGCAAGGCAAGCACTCTACTGAGCTATATCCCTTGCTTCCCTGAATACACTTTTTATACATGGGCAATACCTTTCATTGAATTTGCAAAGACACAGGGATATTTAGAAATGTTCATAATTACATCAGGCTAAATGGAAGAAGCAATGAATGCCTTGGCTGAAGGATAGTACATACTTTTTTCCCAGTTCTTCAACCAAAACTGGTCCATTTTCAGAGTGTATCCCTTGAATGTCTGCATTATAAAACTTTCCATTGTGATCCAACCTAACCTGTTGAACAATGGCAGAAATAAAAATCAGTTACCTGCTTCCTTTGCACTAGTGACCAGTTTCACCATTTTTATTCTCTTTGATTAAAGAGAAACATTTATTTTTTACGGGAAAAACAATGTAAGTTCAAAAGGAAAACAACAGAATATGTCTCCCTAAGCTCCCAGACCTCTACTGTACTTCTATCTAAAAGAAAAGCTTTGCTATCTGTCCTTCCAAAATTTTTCTAGATTGTTTTTCTACATAGTTGAAGGAGAAGCTAGAGTACAATCTATTAAAGCTCTAAATAAGAGATAAGAGATAATCTGCCTCTGAACTCATGGCTGTTACACTGTATGCCCAGGCTTCCAGAACAACTATTATTATAGTTAGTAGAATCTTCCTTTTTTTTCTGATATTAAAAATGTATAAACTCTGACCTTTCTTTTTCCCTAAAAAGAAATGTGTCAACTATTCTCAAACATACACTTGGTAACACCCAACTATATTGACAAAATAAGCCTTAAAGTTTACTACTGTAGTTAAACACACACTAAACCTACACACCTGTCTTCTATACTAGAAGCATGTATACATAGTACTGCTTTAAGCAACCTCCTGCCTTATTACATCAACAATCCCATTTGTTTGAAATATTAAACAGTTGATATTTTATTCCTTATAACAAGGCCTCTTTACTTTCTTCAAAAGTTTTGCAATAAAATTTGTCACTTATTTTCATCATCAATTTAAACCACATCTGATTACACACTTCGAGTCATATAATTTTTTTAAAGATTTCAATTGTTTTATCCAAATTAAACAAATAGGAGAAACAAAAATAAAACACTCCAAAAAGAAAAAAACTAAACAGGTATCTACTTCACCAATTATTTTATCAATAGTGTCCACTTGGCCAAAAAGTACTTTCAACCTCAAAGGAAAGATGCTTGATTTACAAAAACAAGTGTCACAGTTTTAGCAAGATAACTTTAAACAATTATCTCTTTTCTGCTAAGTGGGCAGGGAAGGAGGCCTCCAAGCTCTAAGTTTACTCTTCTTTTTTAATCTCTTCTAAGTTTTCCAAGGCAGTGTAGTAAGAGCTTCCACAACTCTGCTGTACAATTAGAGCACACTTCTGACAATTCCATATGGAAACCTCTAAAGAAATTTATATTCTCTTTTTCAGCTTCCAAGTATCCCAGAACAGAATATTATTAAAAGTTCTAAAGGTGAAACTCCACCACTGATGCCCCAGATATAACCCTGATCAGATATTTTTCATGTAAACCAACTTATTATAAGGTAAATGAGTATTTCTTCCACAAGTCAAGAAGAAACATCTAGGGCTGGGATTGTAGCTCAGTGGTACAGCACTTGCCTCACACGCACAAGGCACTGGGTTTGATCCTCAGCACCACATAAAAATAAATAAAGATACTGTGTCCATCTAGAAGAAGAAGAGGAAGAGGAGGAGGAAGAAGAAGAAGAAGAAGAAACATCTATCAATGGCGGTTTTAAGTAGTTTAAAAAGGCAAAACTTTTTAACCAAGAGTAGTGACACATACTTGTAATCCTAGCTACCCAAGAGGCTGAAACAAGAGGATCACAAACAAGAAATCACAAATTTCCACCCTTGGCAATTTAATAAGACCCTGTCTCAAAATAAAATTTAAAAGGGGGTTGAGGATATCAATGGTTGAGTGGCTCCCAGGGTTCAATCCCAATATCACAAAAAAACAGGCCCAAGGACTATACTTTTGATGGAGATAATTTCTGATAAAAAAAAAAAAATTAACTTCCACATATTGGATGTGTGCGTGTTTCAAAATAACAGTGCTTTTTCATTTAAAAAAAAATGAAAAAAGCACAGGGTCTCTCCAGCTTCAGCATTACTGAGACTTTGAACTAGATGGTTCTTGGTTGGGGGTGGGGAGAGGGAAAACAGACCACTGCAAGATGTTTGGCCACCTCTTTGGCCTCCATCCACTAGATGTCAGTAGCGCCCTCTCAGTTAACTATTACATGTTAAATGTACCCTGGAGGATGAGTGGGCCAAATTACCCTACTGTAAGAAACAGAGATCCCATTAACCATCAGCTACTCAAGTGCAGTTCAGTAGCTTATTCAAAATAATTAGCTCATAATTAATCTAACAGGGCTCATTCTCCTCCTTCCTTAGTCTAAAAGGAAAACATTATACATATATCAAAATCTTCCAGGAAGACTTTTTATAAATAAAATAAACTGAACCATAAAAATCAAGTTTGAATCCATTTGCCAAATGAAATGTATATACCTCCTGAATATCTCAAATGTTACTGTTACTTCTTATTTCTTTGGTAAGGAAGGGATTGAACCCAGGTCTTACACATGCTAGACAAGGACTCTACCTCTGGGTTAAATCTCCAGCAGACATTGTTTTTTCATTTTGTTTGGATATAGGATCTTTACTAAATTGTTGAGGCTAACCTTGTCCTGAGTCACTGATGTCTCCAAGTGTGCACAACCACACCCAGTTTATTATTACTTCTTTGAAGCAAGTAATCCCAAAGGCCAAATTCTTTTAAAAAATCATGGGAGGGGGCTGGGATTGAGCTCAGCGGTACAGCGCTCGCCCTAGCACAGGCGGGGCCCAGGTTCGATCCTCAGCACCACATAAAAATAAAGGCATTGTGTTGTGTCCATCTACACCTAAAAAAATAAATATTTTAAAAAAAAAAATCATGTACGGGGATACTACTGTTTAAGATACAAATTTTAGTATTCAAATATCAAAAAGCTAACTACTTGTGACCTATCAAAATGAATACATGATAAACTCTGAAAATCCAAATTAGTAAGATATTCAAACCTCAGATGTTTTCTTCATTCCTATTGGAAAAAGTAAGATTTAAGTAAAATATTTTCTTCTTTTATACAAATCGCTTACTTGGCATTTATCTCCAACTTCATATTGTAAACCAGCAGCAATGGAATAATCACGTTTTTGTTGAGCTGTAAAAAAATAACAGTATCAAGTTTACTTAATTATTTTCAAGTGCCACAAAGCAATTTTAGAAAAAAATTCAGATTTTTAACTCACCTTGTTTAGACTTTAGCCAAATCTCATACTCGACATTTCTATATACTGCTGGATTAAGTGACTTAAGAACCTTTCTAGATAAAGGCAGGCTAGAAGAGCTCCCATTGTTCTTCAGGTGCTAAACAAACAAAGTCAGGAAGTCCAATCAACACAGAAACACTTTTAAAACATTTTTGTTAGAAAATCTACTTACAAAAGTAAAATCTATTAAAGAATTTTAAAACTTCAAACAATTAGGAAGCAGCCAACAAATTTCTTACTAGAAAGATGTTCCTAACTCTACTGAAAATATATCAGAAAAAAGGCTATAAATTCATATTTTTATATTGAAGAACTAGTTAAAACCATTTTTAAAAAATACCTCATCGCCTGACAAAGGTTTAAATCCATTTACATCATTAGCAGTGGTAGTTTTACTCCTACAAAGAAAGAAATACAACCATAATTAGGAGCAGAAAAATTTATTTGCATGCAAGTAACTTCTACCTCACCTAAAAATCTCAAGTTGGCTATAACCTAAAAAGCTGGAGCTATCCTCCATTAAGCTCATATAAATTTTAGTTTAAGTATACAATACAAAAGTATGTATATGTTGTGTGTGTGTATCTATATGACAGAAGTCCAAGACTAAAAATACCGACCCAGTATCAACAACAACAACAAAAAAAAAAACCCAGAAATACACCATAGTAACTAGGGGAACAGATATGAAATTTAGAAAGATTCAACATAACAATGTCTTTCTACATGCAGGGAAGACCCACTTTAAAAAAAAAAAAAACTACTCCAAAGTTAACTAAAGGAGGGTTCACAACCAACCAGTTCATTAAAAACACCATGTAGCCCAGCCAATTGGAAAACTAAGGCAGGTGAATCTCAACTTTGAGGCCAGCCTCAAGCAAGACCCTGTCTCAAAACATAACAGGGCCCAGCAGCTCGGGAGGCTGAGGCAGGAAGATCCGAAGTTCAAAGCCAGTCTCAGCAAAAGTGAGGCACTACGCAGCTCAGTGAGACTCTGTCTCTAAATAAAATACAAAAATAGGGCTGGGCATGTGGCTCATTGATTGAGTGCCCCCTGCCCCCAGTTCAACTGGCTGTTTTAATTACTCTCTGTGAGTCTTCAATACAACCTAAGAACCATCATTTGAATTCACTGTAACATGCATAGCTAAACATTTATTCATTCACTCAAGTATTTGAGCCCCTATTAACTGCCAGGCACTACACATTAAGGTGCTGAGGTCCTGCAGTGAACAAACAAAAACTACATCTACATGAAATGTACAAGTTCAAACCCAGCCTCAGCAAAAGCAAAGTGCTAAGCAACTCAGTGAGACCCTGTCTCTAAATAAGATACAAAATAGGGCTGGGGATGTGGCTCAGTGGTCAAGAGCCCCTGAGTTCAATCCCTAGTATCTATCAATCAATCAATCAATAAAATTAGTGTCAGAGATCTATGGAAGTTTGCTATATGGCAAATTGCTATATTTTATGTGTTAACACCTTAAAATGTGAGAAAACATAATTGAAATGTCTCTTTGTATGGCATAAGAAAGCTATTTTAGGATTTAAATTCATTCTTACTTGCAACTGTCATCCTCTGAATCGGATATTTCGCTGTTGTTTTCATCAGTTACTTCAGAGGTGTCTAGTCCCATCATGATTTTACTAACATCAGTCTTAAATACCTTCTCATACAGCAATTCATAAAGGAGAGCTGCAATTAATGAGAGATTTGTAATACTTAGTACAGGCATATTTTTAAAACAAGAACAGGAAAAAATGTACTATATTGCTCAGGCTTCTAAAATCTGATAGTATCTGCAACATTTTAGTCAGTAACATAATTTCAATTTAATCAAACAAATAATATAAGAATCACCTAGAAAGCAACTAAAATTTTTCTGTGCAGATATGCAGTTTGAAATTATGCAAACACTACTATTTTTAAAACTAACATCATACAGACATTATGACAACTGTGAAACAAGTTTGATAAAGAACTAATCATACACACTGAACAGTTACTACACTCCACACACTGCTAAGCAATACATATGCTCAAATGTAATCTCAGCACATGCAGTACTGAGACTGAAGAGACTGAAACTTACGGATGTCATGCACATGCTTAGACATAAGACGCATTAAGATTGCTAGAAGAGAGCAAGGTGCGATGGCACACGCCTATAATCCCAGCAGCTTGGGAAGATGAGACAGGAGGACTGAGTTCAAAGCCAGCCTCAGCAATTTAGCAAGGCCCTAAGCAACTTAGTTAGACCCTGTCTCTAAATACAAAAAAAAAAAAAAGATTGCTAGAAAGAAGAATATTGAATAGCAGAGAGTATACTAAATTACTAGTTAGAGGACCTGGATGCTAGTCTTAGCTTTACCACTGACTACAACCTGAGACAAGGCATTTCTCAGCTATCTATGAAACAAGATGTTTGATTATATAACTTAGCTCAAGATTTTAATTTTATATAAAGAACTAAAAAGAAACTGTTGCAGGGGCTAGGGATATAGCTCAGTGGTAGAGTGAATGCTTTATTTAGCATTTGCAAGTTTCTGGGTTTGAACCCTAGCAGAAAGAAAGAGGCAGGGAGGGTCATTAAAATGTATTCTCAGTTGGAAACAGACGCACATGCCTGTAACCCCAAATACTCTGGAGGCTGAGGCAGAACGCTGCCAAATTTGAAGCCAGCCTGGGCAACTTAGTGAGACCCTATCTCAAAATAAAAAATTTTTAAAAAAACAAACAAAAAAAAAACACTGGGGATGTAGCTTTTAATGGCAGAGTACGCCTGGCTCAACTATAGCAAACCCTAACCCCTTGCACACAGCCACAACCACCCAAAAAAAAAAAAAAAAAAAAAGAACTATTCTATGTAACCACTGAAGGGAAGAAGTGTATTTAGACAAATTTGATAAAAAAGACTCTAGTTCTGAAAACAGAAAAAAATTTTACCAGAAATTCAAAAACACATGCATTTTAAGACTGTCATTTGGTTTTACTTATTGAGTTTTATCAAATCAAGTACATAAAAATTCAGGCATTACAAATTAAAAAAAAAAATTCAGGTACAATAGGTGCTCACCACCTAAATCAATCTGAAAAACCAACTTCACCCAGACCTTCTAGATTCTATAACAGGAGCCTTGTACCACCCACACAGCAATAGCAGGCTATAAGAGCTCTTTTTCCCTAAAACTGAAATGTCCAGACTTTGACTAGACAGGGGAGGGAAGAAATAGCCCAGGATTACAGTTAGACATTTCTATCTCAAAATGCAACTTAAATTCAAAAAAAAAAAAAAATCATTACGTGTCTTTACTGGTCAATATTAACTTAAGAACAAGGAGAAAAGCCAGGCACAGTGATGCACACTAATAATCCCAGCAACCTGTAATCCCAGCAACTATGGCCTGGGCTTACGCCAGAGGATCTCAAGTTTGAAGCCAACTTCAGCAATTTAGTAAAACCCTATCACAAAGTAAGAAGAGCTGGGGCCAGGCACAGTGGCTCAAACTTGTAATCCCAGCAACTTGGGAAGCTAAGGAAGGAGGATCACAAGTTGAAAGCCAGCCTTAGCAACTAAGGGAAATCCAAAGCAACTCAGTGAGATCCTATCTCAAAAATAAAAAGGGCTGGGGATATGGCTCAGTGTAAAAGTTCCCCTGGGTTCAATACCAAGCATAAACAAAACAAAACAGGAAAAGTTTTTTACATGCCTGGCACCACTTCTTTGTTATGATGCTTTGTCACAACAGATGACCAAGAGGTAATTGTGGGAAGAAGCCATTTCTATTCTCTTAGAGCACCTTCCTCAAATAGTGGTAGGAGAAAACACAGGAAATATTTGGAAAATATTTGGGAAAATCTGGAGACATTTTTGATTGTCATAAATGGCAAAAATAAAGTATTACCAGCATCTGTTGGTGAAGCACAAGTATGCAACTGAACACCCAAAAGTATCCAGGAGAACACCACACCAGAAAACTATCTGAGCCAGAATGTTCACAGTGCAAAGGTTAAGAAATCCTGAGAGTCAAATACAATCAAGTCCTTGATTTGCTCACTCATTTAGATGTTTAAGCTATACACAAACATCTCTAAAAATGCATGTAACTCCTTTACAGCTTAGGAATAAAATTTTCCATATAAATACACAGTGATACTTACACTGACACATAGCAGAACTATCTTTATACTTTATGGGATAGACAATATCATAATGATTTCCATTGGAAAAACATAGTAACACCTGAAAGGGAAAAACAAGACATGTTTCAGCCTCAACATTTACAAAGCAACTTAGTCTGCAATGCCTCTGAATCACTATATCATTTCCAAATAAAAAGTATTTCAGAAGCAACCTAAATAAAGCTCCCATCTTATTGAACTATACTACTCCAGAGGCTATACAGCCATTAAATAAGTAGGTTCTTAATGACATACAGAAATTATATAGAATCTCTCTCTCACACATACACCCATACACACATACCCACATCCACACACACACCATGAAAACATTTCAGATACTTAAAAACAAATTTAAAGACCATAAAAAAAAATTCCAAAACCTTAATAATGGTAACCTTTAAGAGGCAGAATCAAAAAATATTTTTCTGCTTCTTTACAACTTTAGTACTTTAATTTTTTGGGGGGGGAGGGGGAGAATTTTTTAAATTAAGTTTCCAGCAGACACAACATCTTTGTTTGTATGTGGTGCTGAGGATCGAACCCTGGCCGCAGGCATGCCAGGCGAGCATGCTACCGCTTGAGCCACATCCCCAGCCCCAACTTTAGCACTTTTTTTTTTCCTTTCTTTTGGTGCTGGGAAATGAACCCAGGGCCCTGTGCATGCAAGAAAAGCACTCTAACAACTGAGCTATATCTCCAGCCCCAACTTTAGTATTTTTTAAATACTTAATTACTAATGAATAGAGAAATTTACATTAAAATTTTTTAGAACACGTCTCATTCCAAAAACTGCAGTTGTAAAGCCCAACTCCAGAGCAAAGACCTTATAAAGGCAGTAATTCACTCTCTTCCCCTTCCCTTTATCACCACAAGTATGGTGATACACAAATCCCTTCAACTTGGACTTCGCAGTTCCCAAAGAGCTAATTAAAACAAAATTCTCTTATAATGAGTCAGTTGATTTTTCTTGGTTTTTGGCTTCATGAAATTTTTCCATTGTTTCTGTTTTATGACCAGATGATGCATTAATACCCTTGCCACTTAAATTATCTTTACAATGGGAAATACATGTGGTTACCAAAGAATTCCTGAATGCAAAGTAGAGCCTACTTTCACAAATTATTTTACAATTTAATGTTTAAACTGACACAAAACAACAGAAACAATCTAGTTCATCATATACACTAGTAGCATAATTATTTTCAGTGTACTTACTAAAATTACTTAAGAGGGTTCAATACAATAATGGAGGAAATACAAAATATGACTCATTGATGATTATACTAATATAATATAAACTCAGAATGCCATAACTTTCACACACAACTATTTCAAAAAGTCACTTATAATTACAACTTACTAGGTCAATATAGGTTCTTTTAATTAAATCCTTTACAAACACTTGAAAAATTCTTACCTTTTCAGGAAAATTATTTTCAGTTACTTGTGAAGGAGAAACATTTGGTTCCCGATAAATTACAAAATCTTTCCTGAAAATAAAATTTAGAAATGACTTTTAAAGGAATATACTTCATGCATTTAAATTTAATAATTCATTCATCAATTCACTTAATAAGTGTCAGGTCATATTTTAGGCACTGGAGAAGAAACAATTTCGTAATGACATAACTAAGCAGCAAAATACCTACATAAAATTATCTTTTCTTGAAAATAAAATTTCAAATATAGTTTTGATTGTTTATGTGTATGAGTATTACACACAGAGACATGCTTAAGTACACATACACAAAAAAAACTTCAGACATGATTCTAAAGGGAGACCTAGAACTCAAAGAAGGTATAAAGAGAAAAATCTAAACATTTGAAAAGAAAAAGCTAAGTACTGATTTGCTCCTTCATATGGGGCATAAGTAGTAAAACTAAACATTAACATACCTGTTTTATTAGCTCTGTTCTACTGGCTATTCAATGCTACTGGCCTGAGAAATTACATTTTTCTTTATAAGGTTGATGAGGGCTATTTTACAGCCAGGAAAACTTTCTGTATCATTCCCAAAACTATTTTGATAATTAAAACTTCTAAATGTTGACAACTTAAATCTAATTGATGCAATTAACACAACACATAGACACACCAAAATTAGGATGTTTTACATCTGTGTGTAAAAATAGCCTATTTTAACATTTTCAGCAGAATAAATATATTAATTTCACAGTGATTTTATTTTTTACTTATGCTATTACAGTGTTTACCTGTACATAAGAGAAAGGGCACTTATTTCCACTTGTCCTACCCATTCCTGTATTGAAAAAAAAAAAAAAAAGGAGGACTGCATTACACGTTTTACAATATACCTTATACAACACTGCTACTCATATCCATTATACAACACAGCTAATGAGTTTCTATATATATATATTTATTTTTCAGTTTTAGCTGGACACAATATCTTTATTTTATTTTTATGTGGTGCTGAGAATCGAACCCAGTGCTTCACTCATGCTAGGCGAGTGTGCTACCACTTAAGCCACATCCCCAGCCCAGCTAATGAGTTTTAAAAGCCATTAATATTGTTAGTATCATTACTATTACAAAGACATTTATACAAAATAGGTCAATATATTTGGCACACATACTAAAAGCAGGCTAAGTCTAACAAAAATCTTAGTTATAGAAATAGGCTGTAAGTCAGTTCCTATCTGCTTGACAAGACTATGGAGTAGTACAAACTGAAAACGTGAAGGCAAAGTCTATCCTGTCTTATCTTCAGGGTGAACGAAGATCCTCAAGAGAACACGCTCCCAGCAATCATTTTGAAATAAAGGAAATTCTACCCTTAAAGAAATTGCTTTAAGCCTCTAAAAGGCAAATGGCCAGTACCTACCAAAACTTAAAATACCCATACACACTTTTGACTCAGCAATTCAACTTCAATCAATCTATTCTAAAAGAATATTCTGTTATGTCCACAAAACTGTATATAAACAAGGATATCTGTAAGCTACTTGTAATGGTGTTTTTAAAAAACATTTTTTAAATGAATTCAGCAAAGTAGCAGGATATAAAAATCAATATTCATAAATGCATTTATATATATATCACTGATGAATCCTCTGAAAGAGGAGTTAGGAAAACTACCCCATTCACAATAGTCTCAAAAAATAAAATAAAATACATGGTAACTTAACAAAAGAGGTCAGAGACCTCTACAATGAAAACTACAGAACACTAAAGAAAGAAAGTGAAGAAGACCTTAGAAGATGGAAAGATCTCCCATGCTCTTGGATAGGCAAAATTAATACTGTCAAAATGGCCATACAAAGCACTATACAGATTCATGCAATTTCAATTAAAATCCCAATGTCATTCCTTATAGCAACAGAAAAAGCAATCATGAAATTCATTTGGAAAAATAAGAAACCCAGAATAGTCAAAGCAATCCTCAATATCAGACCTTAAACTATACTACAAAGCTACAGTAACAAAAACAGCATGGTACTGGCACCAAAATAGACATGTAGACCAATGGTACAGAGTAGAAGACAGAGACAAACCCACATAAATACAGTTATCTCATACTAGACAAAGGTGCCAAAAACATATATTGGAAAAGACAGCCTCCTCGACAAATGGTCTGGGAGAACTGGAAATCCATATGCAGCAAAATGAAATTAAATGCCTATCTTTCACCATGCACAAAATTCAACTCAAAGTGGATCAAGGACCTAGGAATTAGTCGACACCCTGTGCCTAATAGAAGAAAAAGTAGGCCCAAGTCTTCATCATGTCAAATTAGGCCCAGACTTCCTTAACAAGACTCCTAAAGCATAGGAAATAAAATCAGGAATTAATAAAAGAGATGAACTCAAACTAAAAGGCTTCTTCTCAACAAAAGAAACAATCAATGAGGTAAAGAGAAAGCCGACATTTTGGGAGGAAATTTTTGCCACACACACATCAGATAGAGCACTAATCTCTAGGATATATAAAGAACTCAAAAAACTTAATACCAAAAAAATAATAATAATAATAACCCAATCAATAAATGGGCTAAGGAGCTGAACAGACATTTCTCAGAGGATATACATTTGATCGATCAACAAATATATGAAAAAACGTACAACATCTCTAGTAATTAGAGAAATGCAAATAAAAACTTAAGATTTCACCTCATTCCAGTCAGAATGGCAATTACCAAGAATACAAACAACAACAAATGTTGGTGAGGATGTGGGGAGAAAAGACACATTCATACATTGCTCGTGGGACTGCAAATTGATGCAACCAATCTGGAAAGCAGTATGGAGATGCCTTAGAAAACTTGGAATGGAACCACCATTTGACCCAGCTATCCCACTCCTTGATTTATATATACCCTAAGGACTTAAAATCAGCATGCTATAGTAATGCAGCCACATCAATGTTCACAGCAGCTCAATTCACAATAACTAAACTGCAGAAGCAATCTAGATGCTCCTCAATAGATGAATGGGTAAAGAAATTGTGGTATATATATACACAATAGAATATTACTCAACATTAAAAGAGAATAAAATTATGGCATTTGCCGTTAAATGGATGGAGTTGGAGAATATCATGCTAAGTGAAATAAATCAATTATCAAAAAGCCAAAGGCTGAATGTTCTCTCTGTTAAGTGGGTGCTGATCCATAATGGGGAAGGGATAGGCATGGGAAAAATGGAGGGAACTGTCATTGGACAAGGGGGAGGAAAGGTAGGGAGGGTACAAGGGGGCAGGAATGATGAGAGAATGAGATGGACACCATTACCCTAGGTACATGTATGATTGCACATATGGTGTGACATCATGTACAACCACTGAAATGAAAAGTTGTGCTGCAATTATGTACAATGAATCAAAATGCATTCTGCTGTCATATAACTAATTAAAATTAATTAATTAATTACAAAAATAAAATTAATCATGGAAAAAAAAAAACTATTTTTAAAGTTCCTAGAATCCAAGAAATAAACTGGCTCAAGGTAACAGGCCTGTAATCCCAGCGACTTGTGAGGCTGAGGCAGGAGGATCACAAGCAAGACCCTGTCTTGAAATAAAATAAAAGGGCTGAGAAACAGAGCATTCCTAGCACTTGGGGGATTTGGGAGGGGGGGATCCTATGAAATAAATAATTTAATCTATAATTAAACTGTACAACAGAACATCATGCATTCATGGAAAATGAGACACATCCTTTTGAAATGACTTGGAAAGACCACGCAAGTCTATTAAATTTTTAACACGCAAGTCTATTAAATTTTTTAAGTCACAATAACATGATCTGTGTAAACAATCAAAAAGGTATATTTAGGCTGGGGATGTGGCTCAAGCTGTAGCGCACTCGCCTGACATGCGTGCGGCCCGGGTTCGATCCTCAGCACCATATACAAATAAAGATGTTGTGTCCGCTGAAAACTAAAAAATAAATATTAAAATTCTCTCTCCCTTTAAAAAAACAAAGGTATATTTATCTGTATGTATGAATATGTATGCATAGAAACTGAAAAGAGGCAGTTTACTTAAATTGACAGTAGAAAGGACATTCAGATTAAGAAAGAAGAATTTTCATCCTTTGTTCTGTACATATCTATACTGTAAAATCTTTTAACGTTAAGAATTTTGAAACTACTTGTGAAATTATTAAATACAGGGATCACTGAAAACAATGAGCTATGGTAACTGAACACTGCCATTTCTTTCCTGAAGGAAGCAAAAAAACTGAGATGAGGAAAAGATGTTAGCCAATGTTTTCATCTCAGAAAAGGACAATCTTGCCCATCGTGGTCTTGCATGCCTGTAATCCCCACAATGTGGGAGGCTGAGGTAGGAGGATTCCAAGTTTAAAGGCAGCCTAAGCAACTCAGGGACAACCCATCTCAAAAATATAAAAAGGGCTAGGGGAGATAGCTCAGTAGTAGAGTGCCTTTGGTTCAATCCCCAGTACCTCAAAATAAGAAAAGAGAGTTCATTTTAATAGTTTTTCAAAGTTGGCTTTGGGTTTCAAAATGAAATAGGTGCCATATATTAAATAGATTTCTTAAAATAGGCCTTAGCCCAACAAAGGTAGCTTCTCACAAACTGTTACAAGTGACACCTTCTGGCCTACAGGAAACCCACTGATGTTTAGTTCAAACTGCAAACTACTTTTCTAATACTTGCAAAGTGCTTAGATCAACAAACACAAAATACTTTTTTTTTAAGTTTATGTGATGTGTTACATCACTTTAAAAGATGGGAAAAAAATCTACTGGAGGCAACAAAATAAGACTTCTCATGAGAATGACATTATTAAATAATATAATACTTTTTACATGTCACTTTCACAATGAATTCTGTTGTGGTCCAGTTAAGTAAACAATGGCTGCCACCTTAACCAAGATCAGTTGTTAATTATTAGTAGAAAACATATCCATGTTCTAAGACCACTACCTTCCTACTTAAGGCTATTAATTCCACTTAGCATTTTCCATGACTTTCTCATAGATGAGAGAAAAGAGTTATTGCCACATCTGTTTTAATGAACCACATTACATCAAGACTACATAATTTAAATTTTCTGAAAATCATCCAAATTAAACTATTTCTTAAAAGATACTATTAGGAAAATGAAAAGCTAAGACAAATTGGAAGAAAACATTTGCAAAATACACAGCCAACGCAGGATTTGTTGCAGAATTCAGTAAGACCAATAATAATAAAAAATGGGCAAAATGAACATTTTCCCAAAGACATATGGATGGCAAATAAGCATGTAAAAAGATATTCAACATCATTAGAAAAATGCAAATCAAATCACAGTAAGAGCTGGCAAAGATATGAAGCAACTGAAATTCTCACATACTGCTGATTAGAAAGCAAAATAGTACAGATTCTTTGGGAAAAAGTTTGGCTATTTCTCATTAAGTTAAACATTTATTTACCATGACCTCAAAATTCTTCTCTTTAGCATTCATCCAAGAGAAGTCTTATGCCCACACAAAGACTTGTATCTATAGCAAATGTTGACAGTACCTTCAATTTTAACAGATCCAAACTAGAAAGAATCCAAATATCAATTAACTAGTAAATAGATACATTGTGGATATTCTATGAACTATCCTTTGCAGTAGAAAGGAATAAACCACTGATGAAGACTCAACTACATGGATGAATCTTAAAAGTGTTTCTCCATCATGCTAAGGGAAAGAAGCCAAATATGTGAGACTACAAATTATATCATCCTACTTATATATATCTAAACGAGCCAAAACTCAGAAAGCAGATCAGTGATTACCGGAAACCATAAGGTAGAAGGAAGAGATTAAATGTAAAAAGGCATGGGGAACACTTCTAGGAGCAATGGAAATGTCCTATATTATGTTGTTGGTGGTGTTTACACAATAATTTATGCTTGTCAAATCTCATCAAGTTGTAAATTTATGACCAGTGAATTTTAGCCAGGCAACGAGGCACATGTCTGTAATCACAGCAACTTGGGAGGCTGAAGCAGGAGAAACAAAAGTTCAAGGCCAACCTCAGCAACTTAGCAAGACCAGTCTCAAAATAAAAAAATGAGCTGGGTATGTAGCACAACAGTAAAACACCCCTGGGTTAGATCCCCAATAGCAAACTATTTTTAAAAAGTTTGGTAACCAGGCTGGGGATGTGGCTCAAGCGGTAGGGCGCTCGCCTGGCATGCGTGCGGCCCAGGTTCGATCCTCAGCACCACATACCAACAAAGATGTTGTGTCCGCCGAGAACTAAAATATAAATATTAAAAATTCAAAAAAAAAAAAAAAGTTTGGTAACCAAACAAACCATATGAATGAATGATAAATCCAAACTGAATGAATCCATATTTAACAGACAAGAGGCCAATTTACTTCACTAAAGCTAACAAAATACTTCTTGCAAAAGTTTAGGTTATGTTCAACATGCTCTACTGGAATCTTTAAAAGGATATAAATGCTTTCTTTGAGAAGTGGATAATTAAGAGTTTATTCATCAACTGTATTTCTTTTCATCTTATATATCCTGTGTATCAGGGAGGAAAAAACCCAGAATGATTTATAAGTATCGTTGCTATTTAATAATGAAAAAAACTGTTCAGAAGGCACTTAAGACACAAAGGAGAGGTTTGATCAGATGTGGAGTGTCCTAAGAAGTCCTAATTATTGAAGGGGGAAAAAAAAAACCTGGCCAGACCACCTAGCCCCAGCAATCAAAGCACCTTCTTTTCTGGTAACCACAAATCAAAATCTCAGTTCAGTCCACACTACATCATTTCCTCCCTATGTCTCCACTTTGTAGATCCTAGCTCAGGCTCTTACAGTCTATTAGCTTGAAATGCTGAACAAATATCAATAACAAACATCATAATGGGGTTTTCTGATTAACAAAATAATAAATGGACTTTGTCATTTCCTGTATTTTATATAAAGAAAATAAAAATCACATAATTATATACCAACTGTTGACATTCTAGTTTTCACCTTCCCTCCTACTTGTAACAAGATATAGGTTTAAGATTCATTTGAAATATACACACTGATCACCAATTAGGCACTCCAAATTGAAAGTTCAACTCTGGGAATTAAACAATTAAAATATTTAATCCTTTTCAAAAAGGCTTATAAACAGAGATAAAAATGTAAACTTCAGGAAAATGAATCTGTGATCATAGCATATGCTGATACTAAGTTTCAAAACTATTCAAATAAAAATATAATCAGAGAAAAGGCCTTCCTGGAGTAAAACTGTAATTACTGCTTTTTATACTTAATACAATGTAGACAGTTTTCCATATATTAGCAATATTTTAAACAATTTCAAAATGAGTCTGACAAATACTGCCTGCACATTCTCACTTGTATGTGGATGGGGGTGTGACAGAGAGATGGTTAACAGGTAGAGGAGTGTAGTTGGATAGGAGAAATAACTTCTCATGTTCTATAGCACAGTAGGATACAATTACTGACAACAATTAGTCACATATTTGAAAACAGCTAATAAAGACTTTAGTGTCCCCAACACAAAGAAATGATAATGTTTAAAGTGATAGATATGCCTATCAGCCTGACCTGATCATTAAATGATACCCTGCATCCCATAAATATGTACAACTGTGTGTCAATTAAATTTTTTAACTTTTTAAAAAATAAAATGGGTTTTTCTGCCTCTGGTCTCATTCACTTCAAACTTTTGCACAACATTCTTTTCACGTGTCCATTCAGTCAGCAAAAATACCAGGGTCTGGGGCACACCAGTGAACAAGACATACAGAAATCTGTGTTCACAAAGCTTAATTCTAATAGAAAAAAAAATGAACAAAATATTTATTATACAGAATGGTGTAAGTGTGACAGAAAAAAATAAAAGCAGGAAGGGAGATAGGGCAAGTGTTGAGGCTAACAGTTACAATTTGAGATGTGGTGACCACTAATCTCATGTCCCTATCTCAAAAATCTTTCCAAGGCGTCTTTCCAAGGCCATATACAGAGATCCCAGGGCTGAGAGTTTAGATATGGGATAGGAGCCAGGGATTCTAAATTTTTTTTACAAGCACACCAGGTGATTCTGATGCAGACAATCAATAAATCATAAATATCTTGAGAAACAAACACTGGTATAAGACATAAGCTCCAAATTACTGACCTTAACACTGAAGGCTCTCCCACAATCCAGCCCCAGCCTGCCCTCTGACTTCTTTCTCACTCCCTCCAATCTTAGAATGTTCCATGCTTCGCATAAACTGATCTGTTTTCTGCATCTAACTTGCTCAGTTTTCACCGATAGAATATCCTTCAGTACAGGCACTGCTTGTTTAGAATCTATTCAGACTTCAAATATGAACTCACAAACTCTTCTTCAACCCAGCTGGAAATAAAACCTTGAGTACTTAGAGCATCACATCTGGGGCTGGGGATATATAGCTCAGTTGGTAGAGTGCCTGCCTTACATGCGCAAGGCCCTGGGCTCAATCCCTAGCACCACAAAAAAACAAAAACGAAACAAAGCCCCCAAAAGTGAGTGACTTAAAATATAGCATTGTATCTGTATTTCTTGGAACACACATGATTTACTAATTTGTATTTGACTCTCTTTTCCCTATAGTAGAAAAAATTATTTGGTTATCTCATCTATGCATTCTCAGGGTGACTAGTTATTCTCAGCCCATAAATCAAACACTCCAAATAGCAACAGGGAATCAAACAGATGACCCAATTACTGATCAAACACCTTTCTTCCAACATTAACATTCCCTTTACCACCTATCTAACTCCTTATCTTTTTTCTTTGCCGATGTTATTTTTTTCTTTTAACAGTTGACAAATTCTAACATTCGAAATGGCATTCCACAATAATCCAGTTTGTGTACATGAATGTGTATGTGTATATGTGTGATGTTGAGGACCAAAACCAGCGCCCCGCATATGCTAAGCACATACTCTGTCACCGAGCTGCATACCCAGCCCACATTTCATGATATTTGGACTTTTACAGTGAGAACATGAGTTTTATAAGCATGGAAAAAAAAAAAGAATTCTTTTAATTTCAACATGACTAAGAAAATGTGTTAGCAGAAGTTGGTGGAGACATGCTACCTTTTTCTCCTCCCCCTTCACAAGTTAATCATGGGAAATACAACTTCCAAAGAACTTTGCCTTCTCGGTTGCCTAAGGAAAAGATCAAATCTCACCTGCATCAAGTTCCACACACAAACCAACAAGGCATTCTGAAAATCATCACCATTTTTATTTCAATCTTGTATGTTACATCCACATGCTATTATGGCAAAGACAAAGAGAGCATGACTCCCGTCTTTAGTGAGAAAACTTCTAGTATACAGTTCAAATTGTCTTCCAAATAAATGCTCAACAAAATGCCTTCCTACACATTCGTAGGAAATGGTGTATGCTATCCCTGTACCCCCTAAACACTGTACTATTAACTATGAAATAGTGTATGCCTGTAACCCCTAAAAACTATACTATTAACTTCCTTCTTAATGAATTTCAAATACATTATGTTGGATACACACAAACAAAAATATATTTAGAACATTACTGCATACCTGTGGATTTTCCAAACGTTTTAAATACTCTTCAAACGACCCTTCTATAAACTGCAAAAAAAAAAAAAAAAGTCTGTTAGGAATGTTATGTCAAAAAACAGTTCACTGTTTCATTGTTAACTATTCACTTTAAATTACTGAGATCTCATACAAACCTCGATACACCAGTAATATTAAAATAATGATGATAATATATACAAATAATTTAAGACCATAAACATATAAAAGAATTTAAAGGAAACATTGCCAGAAAGAGTTTCCAGGAATAGGAGTGACTCAAGATGAAGGCTGGTCAGAATCTGGATGGGCACACAGGGAGCAGACACTCCACAGCAATGGCCCTTGTGGCATAAGGAGGAAGAACTCCGTGTTGGGGGAAGACAGGGGCGACAGGATCTAGCCAGCTCCTAGCCAGTTGGAGCAGAGCAACTTGTTAGGGAGCTGAGCAAGAGAGGAAACCAAATGGGGGACTGTTGTTTATAGAGGGCCTTAACCCAAGCAGGAATTTCAGACTAGACAGGAAAGGTAATTCAAAGGTCACTGCATATGACATCCTGAACTGAGAAATTACACGATGAAAGTAGTGCTTTTGGATAAATTTGGTAGTGGTCAGTGTGTAGAATAGAATAAAACAAAGACAAATATAATAGCTAAGAAAGCATGTCATCTTAATAATTATCTTAATAATACAGATATAAGCATTCGTTGTCTCTAGGTCAGTTATCCACAAGATGAAAACTAATAATGCTAAAGATATTCTGAAGCATCAACAGAATTTATCTAATACTGTTGCTTCACTGTTATTTAAACATAAAATTAGTTTATTCACAACTATATGATCATCCAACCTTGTTTTTCTCATAGCAACTGCACTAACTTGAGAAAGCTCTAAAAAACATCCACCTGACCCACCAGTCAATTTATGTAATTTATAATCCCAGTTAAGTACACCAAAAACATACTTCCTAGTCTGTAATTTTAAACACCCATGGATTTGTTTTGACATTCTTTCATAAATTGTATACTAACAGAGTTCCAAAAAGCATCTTAAATTTTAACACATATTTTTAAATCCCCATCAATCAGATGCTACTATTCCATATTAGATAGTTATTTACAGACTTTTAAAAGAAACTCATAGTGCCATTTAAAGTTGGTAAAGACCTAAGTGTTTTTCCAACACAAACCTGCACCCAATGTAAGCCTCCTTTCTAAGCAGAAAGTGTCCTGCTAGGCCATGGGTGACACTGTTAAGTAGAGCAAGGTATATCTTACCCACAATACCCCTTTCCAACTCTGGTCAACAGAAACTACTAGGGTTCTTATTATAAGAAAAGTAAATCTTTCCCCCTCAGAACTTTCAACAGCTGATCATACCTCATAAGATTATATGAATTAAATAAATACATGTAAAGCACTTAAACAATATATGACACACAGTAAGAGTTCAAGCAGTGTTAACAATGCCCATATTATCAACAAGATTTTTACCTTTTGGGTCAGTAATCATTAATCCACATGTAATTTCTTCAACTATTTATAAACCATGCCACTTCTCCCCTCTTCACCACCATAACACCACAGTCCTCTGTTACCATAAAATAAGGTTTCAAATCACCTGATTAAGCAGGTAAATCTCCTACAATTTATTACTATCCATTCTAACCACAACATTCAGAATTTGCTTGAATATAGAGAATCCCAATCCAGGAATACATTTAACTAAGATGTCTTCTATCTGTTAAGGCTTAAAATCTAGTTATTTGCTAACCCAATCAATAAATGGGCAAAAGAACTGAATAGACACTTCACAAAAGAAATATGAGCAGTCAACAAATATATGAAAAAATGTTCAATATCTCTAGCAATTAGAGAAATGCAAATTAAAACTACACTGAAATTTCATCTCACTCCAATCAGAATGGCAATTATCAACATAAGTAACCACAAATGTTGGCAAGGATGTGAGGGGAAAAGGTACACTCACACATTGCTGGTAGGATTGCAAATTGGTGCAACACTCTAGAAAGCAGTATAGAGATTATTCAGAAAACTTGGAATGGAACCACCATTTGACCCAGTTATCCCATTCCTTGGTTTATACTCAAAGGACTTAAAATCAAGCATTCTATAGTGACCCAGTCATGTCAATGTCCAGAACAGCTCAATTCACAATAATTAAGCTATAGAACCAACCTAGGTACCCTTCAACAGATGAATGGATAAAGAATATGTGGTATATACACAAAATGGAATATTACTGAGCCATAAAGAATGAAATTATGGCAACTGGCGGTAAATGAATGGAACTGTAGACTATCATGCTAAGTGAATTGAGCCAATCCCAAAAAAAGAAAAACCAAAGATTCTCTCTAATATGTGGATGCTAAGACACAATAGGGGATGGGGGGGAGGGAAGAACAGAAGTTCACTAGATTAGGCAAAGGGGAATAAAGGAAAGGAAGGGGAGATGAGAATAGGAAAGAAAGTAGAATGAATTGAACATAACTTTCCTAGTTCCTATATGAATACACAACCAGTCTAACTCCACGTCATGTTCAACCACAAGAATGGGAAGTTATACTCTCTATATATATGTCAAAATACACTACACTGTCATGTCTATCTAAAAAGAATACAAAAAAATTAGTTATTTGCCAAGTATCAATATTCTTTACAAGTCAATGGGGGGAAATACCATTAAAAGTTGTCAGGTTATATAATTCTAGGTCATAAAACCAGTAAGCAGTAAACCCTGCAAGACTTTGAATATATAATAAAAATAGATCAGGTGGCAACTTATTTCACAGCCTTCTACACACTATTGAGAAAATTATACTGTTGTTATACAACATTTTATTAACTATTAATCAACATTTATATAATTACAGTGTTCTGATGTGATTTCACAATGATCTCTGAAAATTAAAAATCTAGAAATGCCTTCTGATAAAATACTTCAGCATTACTTCTGTTCAGCATCTTTTTTATATTTCAAATCTGAAACTTTTTAAATTCATCAGCAGTTACCAATCACACAAATCACTATTAATCTCAACATCCATTTCCCTGAGCATATCAAGTACTAATGTATAGTATACAAATCTCTCCTCCAGGTCATCCTTTCCATCCCCCACAGTTGTCTTAGTCGTCACAGAAGCTTTCTAAATGTATAAATTAGTAACACAAAATAGCCTAGAATATTCACAGCTGAATGTGTTTGGATTTAATGATTTTTCATTTGATCAAGGGTTATTTTCATAACCCAGCCTGTGACATTTCCACCAGAACACTTTCTAGAGACCAAAATGGGTATTAGAGATTATAAATTACCGCTTCAAATTTCTCTCTGTTCTCCCGAAGATAGTGAATACAGGCCATTCTAACTTCAACATGGCGAGACTGAGAGTGCAATACCTAAAAAGAAAAAACAACGCACTATTAAGCATTTTGCTAAAAATGGATTTCAATTACAACTTGATGCCTTCTTTCACACCAACAGTAATGGGACAATCAATAGATTATCAGTCTCCCTCCATTTCCCTTTCTATAATTTTGAGACCTTTACTCAATCTCACCTCTTCCTCTAAGCACGACACAGAAATACAGCAATACTCCTTAAGCCAGATTCATTCTATAAAGAATGTATTACCATTTAACTTTTAAGTCACTACAATCACTCCTCTGAGCACACTTTCATAAACAAGACACTTTCCTTTCTTGCCATCTTTCTACAATAACTCTGCTCTTCAGAAAGCAGAGTTAACAGAATCCCTGCTACTCAGGGCAAAGCCTCAACCTGTGCTTGTTAAGAAAGAGAACAAATAGATGACTTCATTAGTAATCGTCTTTGGGGTGTAAGACTGTATGAGATACTTTTTCTTCCAATAATTGTGAATGTATTTAGTGGCCTTACACAGAAATTTAAGTCCATCATGGTTTCAGAAAAGTTAAGGAACTCTTTACCAAGTTTACAAGACTTAAAAGAAGTAGACAGTCTGGAAGACATAAAAATGCTGTTATCCTAAGAGGCTTTGGATTTGACTGTGGTGGGGAGAGGGGATTATGTGGACTGATCCCAGAGGTGGTCTACCACTGAGCTACATTCCCCAGTTCCCTTTTAAGATTTCACTTTGAAGCATGATTTCACTAAATTGCCAAGTCTTGAACTTGCAATCCTCCTGCCTCAGCTTCCGAAGCTGCTGGGATTACAGGTATGCACCAAGCTGTAACTCTTTTTGAGTGTGTGTGGTACTGGGGTTCAGAAAATTTGGCAACTTAGCAAGACCCTGTCTCAAAATTTATAAATTAAAAAAAGGGGTGCTGGGAATAGAGCTCAGTGTTAAGAGTGACCCTGGATTAAACCCCCAGTACCATCAAAAGAAAAAAAATTAAACTACAGCTCCTATATTAAGTGAGTCTCCCATATATTCAGGAAAGACAAGACTCAAGATACATGTTTTACAGCTCCCTTGGATCATAGCCAAGGCTCATTGATACCCACAGAACCACAGGCAAAATAGCCTGGACAACTAGTATGTCTTATTACACTATGATACACTGAAGGAACTCTCTACCAACTAGCTAAAATTAGCAACTGAATTGGTTTTCAGTTTACTAGTTGGTTTTCAGCTTCACTGGGTAAACCTTGTGATTCTATTAAATAGTAGCCTTTTTCTAAGCTTCCAGCACACGGGGTACTGCTCACATATCCATACATATATGACTAACATACAAAGCTGAAGGTGTAGCTCAATGATAGAGTGCTTACTTAGCAAGCATACGGTTCTGGGTTCAACACTTAACACACACATACAAAAAAAAAAACCCACACAAATTTTTTTTTGCAGGTACCACAAATGACATTCAGCTAACACTTCTGTAGCTAACGTTAGACACTATTATGAATCAAGTCATTATTAGTATGACTCAGGCAGTGTCATCCGATAGGGCTTTCCTGCCATTAGCAAAGTAGAGCTACTGTTAAAGCCATCTACCTAGCAACAGGTGGCAGATATAAGTTAGTAAAGCTTATTTCCCATCAAAAACAATGGCAGGCATATCTAATGGTTTTTCTCCTCTTTTAACAAATATTTTAGCATATAGAATCAATCTAAACTTGTTGCTCAAAAGCAAAACTCTCAAGTTCCATAAATTGTGGAGTGCTGGTAATTTACAAAGCCAAACACTGCAAGACAAGCAAGGTTAAATGACAACTGTATAAAAAGTAAATTACTGTACAAGTTCAAGGACCTCAAGAAGAATTCAAATGGTATGGTAAAAATCCATCTTTACAAACTATTGCAAACATGAAAGTAAGCTACAGGGAGGAGGCTTTCCATCGCTCCTGGGACAAGATAGTGATAAACACTGGGAAAGGATGAGACACACTGTTTTAGCAAGTCCTCTAAGAGTGCCCTATTTTTAGCTCTATGGCTAGGAGCTGATTCAGGTCAGGCCTCCTGCAGGCCCAAATCCACAACTGTAAAAAAGGGAAGGGTCCACCCAAAAAAATGTGATCTGACGGGAACCTGAAGTCCCCTCCCCGGCTCTACAGCCTGCCATTTAGATTACTGACTCCTCAGAAATTTTACCTATTGTAATTTTATAAAAAAATCATTAGTTTAAAAGAAAATCCTTTGTACTCATTTTAAAAGGGCAGCTTGAGTGCTGTTATTTCCCTTTTCCCCACACTTTGCCTTTAGCCATAACTGCTACACCCTTAGTCCTGTCTGCTGAAAAACCCAGTCTTCACCCAAAAATTCACCTCCTAGAGCTAAGCTCAAAATCAGAGTCAGATAATTGGAGAAGGCAGTCCCTTATGCCCAACCTGAGTCCTATTATAATAAATTACAAAAAAATGTATTATTGGATGTTAATGAGTTTTTAGTGTTAACTAGCTCTTGCCCCTACAAAAATACTCAATATGATTCTCTACAATATGAACAGGCTTCTGAATAATCCAGGTTCACCAACTATGGCATATAATAGTGGAAACAGTCAAACCTTTCTGCTTCAATAACTAGGATCTGAATAATTCAAGTCCAAATTTAACTTCTACCTCGTTCCTGACCAAACTCTTGCTAAAGCCAATAGTATATAACTATGAGCTGACTTCATTTTCATTTCTTCTGCTTCTGGAGGTGTTGAGGAGTCCAAAAAGGCTGAGACAGAGGAAGCACAACAGATGGAGAAATTTGAAAAATTCACAAATGGGGCAGACTGTTTACCTACTGATAGTTAGTACTGGGGTGGGTGTGTGAACATACTCCACTCACACTGAACATCCTAAATTTCTGAAAATCAGAGCAGTCTAATGAACTGAAAAAGACAGAGCCTGGTTTGGAGAACTTTTAAAGAAAATGTTTCACTATCAATACCTGAAATGCTGCAAAGGCTGATCCCCAATAAATCAATTTCTTGTTTTAAACAAAGATTCCATGCTATAGATGTAAAAAACGAGAGGCCTTTGAAAATAAATATCTGGCCTATTGATGTTTTTTAAAAAGGAGAACACCCAGTCCCAGGGCTCAAGCCTGTAATCCCAGCTACTCAGGATGCTAAGATAGGAGGATGCAAAATCCAGGTCAGCCTCAACAACATAGCCAGACCCTACCTCAAAATTAAAAA